GCGACATAAATACGGAAAATGCATCTATATGTATGCGTGTACTTTTCTAAGGTTCGAGTATTGAATTTCTGCATTACAATTGTTGATTTATATAATCATATGGTGCTACAAATGTGACTAATCCTTTTTAAAAATAGCATCGCGTGATGCTAGATAAAAAATTCTTTTAAATTATCTTTTTTTTCCTTTTACGTACGTGGTCGGAGTATCGTATGCATCCGCATATGTTCATGCAGCTATACATTAACGAGTTACTTAACACGCGATGTCGAATATTTTTTGTAGAGTAAGCAATTTTCCTAATTTCTTCCAATAAAAAATGTTGCAAATTTAATAAATTTTCCATAATTAAAAAAGCGTTTTTCATAAATAAATACTCATTTTATTTATAATTTGATAGCACATGCTATCGACGAGATATAAAGTGTGTCGGAAATTATTAATTTATTTATATTTTTTTTTTCATAAAATAAAAATAGAAAAATTCTGCGCAGACTTTTACGATTCCTTTTAATTTTGCGAATATATAAAAAAAGTGTTAAGAGAGAGAAAGAGAGAGATTTTACATATAATATATTAATCATTTAAATTTTTTCTTTTTTTTTTTTTTGAAATTTAAAAGAAGTAACAATCAAGTATATCAGAAATAAACACTGCAAAAAATAAAAACTGTTATACATTACATATATATAATGTATAACAGGTTTTATTTAACATGTATTATATATATATATATATATATATATATATATATATATATAATACATGTTAAATAAAACCTGTTATACATTATATATATATATATATATATATATATATATAAACTGTTATATATTATATATATAACAGTAAAAAAATTAACTATACATAATCTTAATGTTTCGTACGTGTTCGCAGGCATAAAATCCGCTGCTGAGACGGCAATAGAGAGAAAACAATCTACCGGAAATGGGACACGTAAACGCGACAAACATCCGTCCGTAAACGGCGAAACGCGAACGGTGAGAAAAAAATTCCGTTGCTCGACGAAATTTAACTACGCGTTCCAATGCGAAGAACAAGACTCCCCCCTGTTGAAGGAATCCGCACAAATTTGCGGCGCGATTTCTGCCAGCAAACGACGAGTGAAACTAGGTGAAAGTAAATGTAGTGGTCCTTCTCCTTATGCTTATGCACTGTCCCTCACGTGCCAAGAGAAGGGCCACTTACATTCCCTCACTTGCAATCGCCCCCGATCTTTTCTCTTTCTCTTCTTGTACCAAAGAATAAAGATTTCTGTATCAAAAGAATCGATGCCGTTCAATGTGAGTTTTTTTTTATATTTTGACTCGCTCGTCATAATCTCTTTATAAATATGACATTTGTACTTTTACGAATTCAAAATTTTCATTGGTCCCTTTCTTCTTGTGACATTTCAAAAAAAGAAATCAATTTTCTTATCCTGTTTTTCATCGATCGTTTGCGTTTTTTTTTCGTCATTACGAATTAACATAAATTATCTAAAGGTCTTTTCAGCGTTCGAATATCATTTTCTGTATATTCCAGAATGTGTCTTCCACTGGGTACTCTTTAAGTCGCGATTAAGATTCTTCCTTCTCGCGTCATAATTTCTCATCGACCAATCAGCTGGTGGACTTAAAGTTAATCGTAGAAAAGATTTATATCTACGGGTTACCTCGTCGAAGCTGATTGCGATCGAGACTTTCCACAGCGATATATAACTGTGCACAGTGGACGGCTTTTCCATTGTCGATTCATTCGGTTCATTTCACGAGGGATCTCTGCCCCCTGACGCGGCGACTTTCATGAAAACATATGTTTGATTTGATACTCGTTTTATATCGTGCAAATTACGAATAATTTTCTAACATGAATCTAAAATCGCGTACGATAAAAAAGAGAGAAAGAGGAAGAGAGAAATACCAATATATTTTCTTGCGCTGAAAAGATCTGTGATAGACATGTTTACTGAGAGAATTAAATTTGACACAATCCCAATTTTATATTCAACTTATTGTTAGCAACATTTTTTTCACTTTTATTTAATTATAATTAATTATTATTGCTCAAGGAAACATTTTCAGGCATCTTTAAATTTAGCACAATGAAATATATTTAATTACTTCTCCTTAATATTAATTTATATCGAAAGATAATAACAACATTCGCGATATTGAAATGTCACTTTCAATTTGCATGCGTAATATCGGTTGACAAAGCACACGTGCCGTTGGTCGTCGTATCAATTCATCTCGTTTGAAACGCAAGATTATTATTTTACATAAGCTCAGGAACGCCAATAACTTTAATCGCCGCGCGACAAGAAAGAAAAGAGGAAACGCGAAGTTAGTGGAAACGGCGGTAGAATGTCAAAGCAAAATTCTCAAACTGTAGATGCATATACGCACGTGTTTATACGCGCGTGTGTGCGATTGCAGGTGATGCGATTATACGATTGGCATTGCCGGAATGTTGTTAAGTAGCTGGATTCGTGACTTTGTGGCGAAGCATGGTCGCGCATCGCTGAAGACCCGAGGCTAATTTTCCGTGGCTTAACGTGCTTAGGTTTCTTGACTTTCCGGCTTGCGCGAATCTTTTTCCTTTAGAATAGATTACAGAGACGGGACTACAGTTGCGCCTAAATATACGAGGCTTATAACAATGATTGTTTCGTTGGGTATACTTTATTATAGCGATCGCATTGAAAAATAATCTTACTGCCTTTGCGTAATGACGTGCGAAAATTAAAGAATATATAGTATTATATTTAATATGTTTTGCTGAATTACTGTAATAATGTTTCATAATAGAGCATATAATATCCGCAAAATATTCGTATTTATCAGAAGTATTATATGCAACATAATGTTCTGTTAATTAAATTTTTTGTATTTTATAATCTCATTAAAAATGTTCATTTTTCCAGTAATTTAAAAAATTTTTTAATACACCTGCGCGAACATATATATGTCGCAATCAATTTAACGTCTAAATTTAAACTGTCAGTCTATCTAAAAGCTTATATAGAAGTTTCCGGTAGTCTATAAATTGAAAAGTCATGTCAATTAAAGTTACATAAGTTTAATATCACTAGCAAATATATCGTTCAGAACATATATCTTTATCGTTTTGAAATTTTCTGGTTCATAAAATTTTATTATTTTATATAATATATCAAAAAATATTCATATATAAAATAATATAATTAGTTAATAATTCATTGTTATACTACACTATTTTTTATCATACGATAGTAATTTTAAAACTTATGTAATATTGCAAAACATATGATAAAGATCTGTGACTCAGATTATTCTTGCTTCGTGATTGCCGACTACTTTTCGGAGAAATCATAAGTAGAGAAAAAACAACGTAACCTTCATTTTTAAACTAAAAACGATTGACTGAGTCGCTTTGATAAAATGTGTAGCGTGTAATAAGTGCGATTTGTTACATGTACTGTCACGGTTAATTAAATTTATCCAGTTCACAGCGCATATACTCGATGAAATTTCCCTTCATAAAAATAAAGCACACTCGCGTTCTTATTATAATTTTGTGGACAGCATTTCTGAAGTTTATTTTCTACATTTCAATTTTCCTTCCGCGTTAAATATCATCTAAAATGAATTTCGCGAGTCGGCGAGCGCGACGATATCGAATCGAATCCGCGATTGCGTGTGCTCCGTGACGTTGCACGCATATCGTAGCAGCTCACGCACGCATGCACGCATGCACGCACGCACGTCCCAGAGCGCACGGCCCGTAATTATATTGTCACGCCGCGGGTGTTCAATTTGTCGAGCGCACCTCCGCCGTCACCTCCACCACCTTCGTAAGGTGGATCTCTCTTCCCGAGAGGGACGGTCGGCGCGGCTCCAAGACTCGGTCCCGTCAGTGCCCTACAACCCCATGGTTCTCACGCCGGCAAAAAACAGTTTTCAGCCGGTTTCTCTGTGCGAGTCCGCACGAAATCATCGGTAACGACGCGTCACGAAGTTCCGACCATTTATTTCTCTTCTCTCTCTTCTCCCCTCTGATAATAACGTTTTTTTTTTGGTCTCTCATTACAATCACATTGAATTATAGCAGAATCAAAAGTTATGTAATTTTTTTTCTTGCAATATACGTCAAAGTAAATTATCTTTCTTGCTATACGTCAAAGTAAATTATTTTTTAAAAATTGTTTTTTAATGAGCAATATCGTTCGCATTAGCGCACATAGATAAATTATAATTCCTTTTAAAAATCCCCTTTTTTCCTTTTAAAAATAATCGAATTTGCATATGTTTTTTATTTTCAATAAAAATGAGTTGACAAGTTAATTTTTAACTAATATCTACGAAGCAAAAAGAAAATCTTCGATATTTTTTCTGTTATCGAACATTTAACGATAGCATACGAAGAAATTTGTTTTGACGTATTTTAATTACATGCAATATGACTAAGTATCCTCATAGTTTGTTTTTAATTAATAAGCGTAATACTTTCAATAACCTGTCTAAATAAATAAAAAATACTTGTAACAAAAAAAATATTTAAGTCTGATTATTAGCTCTATATTATTATTATTAAAAATATTAATACTCTATTAATATTTTTTTTATACGTAGTAATATAAATTTTATGCATTTAAAATATATGGAAAAGAATTATCTTATATATTCTAGATAAAAAAGGTAGCTTATATATTTTCAATTTTACTCTGAAATCTGAATAAAATCAATATTCCGCGAAACGAGATAATGCACTCGTGTAGAGTTTACTGTTAGTATTTCATACTCATTGATACATACTATTAATAAGTACATACTATTAATAACATACATACTATTAATTAATATTCCGCGTAATAACTGTAACATTCATTAATATACTTATTAACGCATGTTCATGTTTATTAAGCATGTTCATGTTTATTAAGCATGTTCATGTTTATTAACGCATGTGACAGAATCAAACAAAAAGATATTGAAAATAAAAATGTATAATTTACTCACATAACTGAGCATAGGTATATTGCGTGATTGAGCGACTATCGCCTCGACGTGGCAGGAGCCTTCCGGTCCGAAAAAGGCCACGACCCCCTCGCAAATCATGTCGATCATTGCACTGGTAGCATCGGTAGTTTCTCCCCTCGTGTCGTTCCATCGCATCACCAGCTTCACATTCGGCAAAATGTTCTCATCGTTGTTGACCTGATACACAATGAGACTATCCGTTAGTTCCAAGCGAAAATGAAATTTCGAGATATAGGAATTTCTTTTTGACATTTTGCACACAAAAGAAAACAGAGATCAAGCTTTAATTATTCTAGCTTGCCTCTTTGAAAATTCGCCTAACAATATTTTATCTAGATAGAAAATTGAATTGAAAATTATTTTTATAATTTTCAATACAATTTTCTATCTAATTAATTATTTTTATAATTTTTTACAATTATAATATAATATTTGTATAGTAATATTTGCACAAAAAAACTTTACGTCAATCCCACCGGAACTTATTTAATGAAGTCATTTTCTAACCATAAACTTTCATTGTGCAATAATTATGGCTTCATTGTTCATGCAATTACGTGATAAAAGTTTATCGCAATCGATTCTACGGTGAAGTTTATCGGTTTGTATTACAATAAATGCGAGAGAGGTTCACATGTATGTGCGATACACATGTATGTGTCATAATAGCTGACTCGGCGTGTATTGCCCATGGTATCCCGTCGTCTTATTGCTTGATGCGCATTCCTATCGGTTCATCCGGTATATCCGACTCGCGTCCACATCATATACTTTGTTATTATGCAAATTCGAATTCCAGCAAACAATACTTTTCCGCGTAGAGTCACTTCGACGACGTGCCAATTTACATGCCTGGCGAGCTGAAATTATAACCGTCAGCAGCCATCGTTGAAAAAAGTTCGCACACGTGCGATAAACCCTTTTGCGCTGTCGCGATTCTATTGTGCGCTCTAACACAACTTAGAAGAGATCTGTGTATCAGGTTGTAGTCGCACAGTCAGCGGAATAAATCTATTCGAACTATACCATAAATACACAGAGAAAAATATTATTTATTTTAAGTATATCATAAGTTTGTATATCCGCAAATATATCATAAGTTTACCACAAGCATTAAATTTAATTGAATATATTCTGAATTTTAATAAGTGCCGTATTTTAGTGAAGAATATTAAATTAAAACAAAAATTTGGTTTGCTTACTACAAGAGTTGACGTAAAGTAAGTTTGATTTTTCTTTGACACAATTTTACAATATTCTTGAAGAGAAAATAAATTCTTCCTTTGAGTACATGATAATGAGGATTTTGTAACACTTGTGATGAGTATATTTTAAGATTATTATCAAGAATATATTCTTTGTTGAAGGAAACTATTACCTAAAAGAAGAAAAATAATTTGAGTAATCGTATCGCTTTTCTTGGCAGTAGAATGATATTTTTCTCTGTGTACGCAGATAATCAGGTTACGATACATATGAAGATATCGATTATTGTTAACAGAATTCAGCTCACAGAAATTTTGTAAGGAAAGTATACATTTTTAACTTCCATTCATAGAAATGTAGGAATAATGTACCAGCTATCAAATTTTGAATTTTATGGATATGATTAAAATAAGTGCATTGCAAATGACGTCAAATAATTGATTATCCGATTATTATAGAACTTATAACAATAATATGATAGATAAATAACAATAGAGAACTCATAACAAATAAAATTTTAAAATATATGTAAAAAATGTTTTCAAAATTGAAAAGAATATTTTTAATTTTTAAGTTAAACAATTTCTCTCCGAATGTAAAAATTCCAAGTTTTTGAAAATGCAACTTGCATTGACTCAAAAATTGCAAAACTCTGATTTGTATAATTTTGCATTTTAAGAAATTTATCTACTCGATATTATTTTTTTTCATCTGATATTGATTTATTTACTTTATAATGTAGATGATGGAATTGTTAGTTTACGTAATTGAATTCGTTTGCAATATATATACATATCATGAATAGGAACTAGATATTATTCCATGTATTACAATTATATATCACTATATATATTCTGCATTCATGATTTTTCTTATACGATTTATTAATGTTATATCCAAAGTAAGAGGTTCATCATTAGATTCGTGATATCATATAATTATCTTGTGAGATCAATTGACGCGTTCAAAGCATATACATGCGTTTTGCAGAAATTTCTTAGTACATAAAAGATGAATAATACTAGGTACAAAGGTAGGATCAATTTGACAATTTCATCAGTCATTTCCATGAAATATTTATAGAATGAATTGCTAATGAAATGTAATCAAATAAATCACATCGTGGAGAGGCAAAACATACATGATTGAAACATAAATAATAATTTTAAATTTATATAAACGCGTGTGGGTCATTAAAAGAATATTCCATTCACTATAAGTTATTACATTACTTAACAAAGCTTATCATCTGGTAAACCAAAGTGATTTTACATTTTAAAAATTTTATTCATGGTTGTGAGAAATAAACGAAATAATAATATTGATTGAAGGAAAATAAAGAAAAAAATTAAGTGATAAAGAAAAACATATTTTAATCCTATCGAAAAGCAACTTCCATTAAAGAGCAAAAAACATTTATATGTTCACAAAAGATTTCGCGACACACAGCAATATATGAATCTCTCAAAAGCCGAATTGATTCCCTTCACTTTTATAAATTCCTTAATTTTAGCATCACAAAGCATTGATTATGCGCTTGATACTGAAATAAAATAACAAAATAAAATAAAATAAAATTGAAGTTGAGATCAGTTTAGCTTCCGAGATGCTCACATGACAGCGTCATGAATTTGTGCAGTCTTCGCTTGTTACAGCACCGTTAAAGCGGTTTCATGAAACCCTACAAAAAAACATTACTCTTCCCGTTGAATGCCTGGCATTCCTGATTTTGCATGTGCTGCATACGCAAGTGCGTGCAAAATAATCACATTTGTAGCGCGTAATTTGCATATCAACGTTATATCTTTACGGGAATGGATGCTGATGCACTGTTAATTTTCATATTTTTCCAAATCGTAACAGCTGCGAATTTATATATCGGAGAAAATATATTTTTCTTTACAGAGAATTAAAATACAAACATATGCAAAATACGCTGTGTTAAATAAAAGCTATTCGAAAAAATACGGCAATTATCGCCCCGTAATCACTTTTCGATTCTCTATTCAGCGAGCACCAGGTTCGACCCGTGAATTCAGTCTGCTTTTTAACGCTATATCTCGTACTTCATTCCGTTATAATCGTAGCGGGGCAAAAAATTCTGCTCTCTGGCGCAGTGAAAGTTCGGCGTTTCGCGTTCCTCCTTAATCGCCGTTCATTTAAATTACACTTCCTTCATCAAGAGTCAGGTCAACAGTAGCAACGTAGCGCGCCGGCGCGGTTTATTATTTATTAATAGAGATCGACTTTACACACGGGCAATTTACAGGCGCGCATGTGGACCGCGTTATCCACCCGCGAACGAATATTATGATTGAAATTTGCGCGTTTAAAAGAGCCAAGTGCGCCGCGCCCATTATGGCTGTTCTCTCGCGTCGATTATGCGAAATTGCCAATTAACACTCTATTTACAAATATACCGAGCCGAGTGAAACTAGTTTACATTCGTAGAAGTGCGTATACGACGAATGCAAATTCCGCGATTTTTTTTTCTGCTTTACCCGCGGGCGAAACGCCTAGATTAGCGCGAGCGCGTAAGGTGGTTCTGTAACACCTGTATCCTGCACTTGCGATCGCCGTGACCGAACCGAATATTAAGGACGATTCACACACGTGTGATCTGATAGCTTTGCATAATCATTAAACATAATATTATTAAACTTAAATATTATTTTGTTAAGTAACAACTTGACGTGTGCTATAAAGGTCTATGTACATTATACGAAATGACACGACGGTCTTTTGTTGTCGTATGAACGTATTGTGAAACTATTTTCCATACTCAATATTAAAAAATAACGGTCATTGTTTTCGCTTCTCAATTCAATCTAATGTTGATTTTAATGTTGATTTCTAAATGAAATTGCATTTTTTTAAACTAAAATGTTTTTTAGAATCGAATTTGCAATAAATAAAATTCGCTTGAACAGTAAGAAAGAAAAAAAAATATGATTGTTGGGAATGTTATATAGAGAATAAGCAATATTTCAATTATGTAAAAGTTCAAAGAATCGTTATGCATTCAAAAATTATTAATTATTTAAATTTATTGCCTTTTATTCTCTATTTTTTAATTAATTAAACATAGTATAAGAGATTAGATTATCCATTGAATAAAAGATTAAGGTTTAATGACTGGCGTAAATATACGTCATACACAATGATATTAAACGCGAAATTAAAATATTCTCGCCGAGGATATTTGCATCGATGACAATCATATTAAAGTATTTTAAAAACATTATTTAAAAACAAATATAAAAATATTCAACATTACGTCGAAACTCTGACGTTACATATAACGTACATAGATCTTAAGAAACGTCTAATATTACATTAGAGATTTGTGTAAAATAGATCAATGAAATGAGTTATTAATACATTTACTGTTTCGATGAGAAAAACATGTTACGAGCGTAATGAATTACGTATACAGAATTTTTCAATCAAAAGAGATAGCCACATTTATTATCATTTATTGTATCGGCGAAAAATCCATTTCCACTGCATACAATATAATATGACGATGAAAAAATGATGAGTTTTACTTTCTTATTTATAATAAACAAATATCAATATTCATCTAATATTTATGCAATATTCACTAACATGATACCAAGTATACAGTCGATTTGCCGTAACAAATTACTATCTAGAAGAGTATAATAAACTGATTGAACTTTAACTATCATCGGTTTCGTAAGCGTAACAATTTGCGTCATTAACGGGTCGATAACCGATAATGTCGAATTGTTAAAATAAGCCCTATGACGTACAGAAATGTGAGGATAAGGTTATTCGTTGAGAACACAAGATGCTCGTATCGCATCGTACACATACATACGTACATACATCGCGCTGGAGAACACGCGTTTGTGAATCAAGCTTTATTCTAGCCGCGAACACAGAGGCCGACATTGCGATCGCGATGCTTACTCTTGCGTGGCATATCGGAGGATATAAATAAACGGCCGCAAAGCTCGTTTCCTGCACCTTTCGACTCGCTGAATGCGCGGGCATGCATCGCAGTGAGGAGAGTCATTATGCGTTTATCGTTACAACTGCACGCGGTGCATCGAACTGCTGAAAGAGAAATTTCATCCTGGAGCGCGAAAACACAACGCGTCTTTTAGGCTTCGTTCCTTTTTCCCTTTTCTCAGAAGAAAACAGATGTGACGCGCGCGTACACATTTTTTTTTTAAATTTAGAGATTATTCTAAAAATAATCCGTATTTCCGCTCGCTGCCGATTGTTTTGTTTCCAAATTACGGTCATTTTCAGGTTGTATTAATTGTTGGCAATTATAAGCTACTTTACTCGAGACATGATAATTCTTAAAATTCTCTAGGAAAATAAAATAAATAGATATTATGTATAATTACATTTCGCGGAAAAATGAAGGGATTAAAAAACAAATAAATTCCCGCTCATCCTTCGACGAGATAAGGAATCGAAGGGAGGAGGTATTTGACTGAGGGGGAATTTAACCACCGATGCTTCTCCACGCGTTCCAAGGATCAATATTGCTCGACGCTTTCGATCTTTTACGCTCCTCTGTTACGGTCGACGTGGCAATTAATCTTCGAAGATAACGCCGCCTTATATTTTCACACCCGGATATCGCGTGTCGCGATAAGATCGACGCTCATTTCGATCATTCGCACGGTTTTTTGCCCCCTTCTCCCTTTCCCCCGCTGGCTCCTTCTTTTTCCCTCTAACGAGTTCGCAAGAGCACAAGACAAGGTTTGGAAGAAAAAGGCAGGGGGAGAATGAGGAAGGGATGAGAAGAAGAAGGAAGGAAAGAGGAGGAGGAGGAGAGAGGGGGAGGGGGAGAGGTGGATACGCGTTGCCGAACTCGCGAGCGAATTCTTCTCACGGTTCGCGCGCCGTTTCGTCGGCACGCGTGGGCGGACCGGCGAATAACGCCGGTCTTGTATTTTTAAACCCTCGCAGGGGCATCTCGGAGACGCGAGCGGCCCTCCCCCTCCCCCGACCCCCCCGCGCTCGGAGGAATCGCCGGGTCACTTCTGCCCTCGCGGCGAGCGGGAGCCGCGTACCTTTCTCTTTTTACTTCCTCTTTAACCGGCGTGCAACACACCCGGGCGAAAACGGTCTCACGGTCCCCTACGGATCGCGGGAGATCAGGGGGAGGGGGCCGGAGGGAGAGATAGGGGATCCGTCGAATGAATTATCGAGGCTTTCGGAGCGGGATGGTCGACCTGAGCGAGCGGCAAGGAATACGGCAAGATCGAAAGGGGACGAGAGGGGGAAGAACACTGGATATTATGGCCGTTGTGTTGTCGTTGGTTGGGTAATCGAAGAAGATTCGAAACGGATTCGAGAGTCGGATCATCGACTGCACTGGTCCCCCTCCCCTCCTTCGCGGGAATTAAAGAACTCATCCGTGGGGGGAATGTATACATGCGGAGGCGATTAACTTTTCGATGAGAACCGAAATAAGCCTCCATTCGTTTGCATTTGCTTATCGCACGTACGACTTTAGGGATACTGATTTATCTGATATTTTTCTGTTATTGTACGCTTACATCAAGCCACTTTATAGTGAGTAAGCATTATAAAAATTCAGTTATCGTCTTAAACAACATTAGTCTCGCAAGATATTTTTGCATGTGCGACGTTTAAATGATAATTAGAATCAAAAATATCCCTTTATATTTCCCTTATTTTCTGAATAATTATCTAAGAATTATTTTAATAATTGCATAAAAAAGTGAGATAAATATATACATATATTAATTAAATGCAAGTGAACCACTATAAAACAGAATCACTCTCACGACCTAATTTTCGTTCAACTTTACGATGTCTTATTGAAATTATAACGTAATCTCGTTATCTTGCGATTTCCCTTAAAATATATTCATCTGGAATCTATAATTTTACGTCTCATCAATCGCGTTTCCACGCGATCAGTTTTCCTCGGTTGAAGCGTCGGTGGTTAATAGCAGAAAGAAAGAGAGAGTATAAGATGCTATTACTATTTGCATGATCAGTGTGAGTGACGTAATTCACTTTGAAATACGCTTAATAGAAAGAGTTACATTCCGCATCGACGAGAGATAAGTAGAGTTTCCGTACACGTTATAATTTCGCAGTTGATGTGTAATGCGGACAGAAAGCGGGATACATAAAAACAAAAAGGAAGAAGGTTGCGGAATCCGAGATTAAAGGAAAGTGAAATTTCGAGCGACCGTATCTCTTCTCTCTCTCTTTCTCTCTCGTTTTTTTCAAAGGCTCAAACTATTGCGATTGTGTGTACAAATTTTGACAAGCACCTTCCAATTCGAGACTCCGTCAAAACTGCCGACCAACCGTCAGTCAATACACCGTGTAAACTAATAGCATCAACGAGCTGTCATTAGCAGCTGTTACGACCGACAGAGAATAACGTTGTAATCTTCTATGAAATTCAGCGGCAGCGGGTTCAAAGATCTTTCGCAGCATCGGCACGATTGGTCGTGTTCATGCAACACGCGTATCGCAATGATCGGGCAAACGACTTCGTGCAGAAACGCAGACGGTAGTTCGCTTATTCCGAGAAACGCGACTACCGATTACAATGCGAACGTATCAATAGAACGCTCTTAAAATCGTACAAGGTATGCTGATTTCGCACAATGTCATTATTCTCTTCATTAACAATAACAATGCGTATTTTATCTGAAGAATGAAACATGGTGTACGAGAAGAAGATATAACGAATTCCATTTCTTTCCCGGACAATATACATATGTACACAAACCATGTTCGCTCTACTTATTTGCAATGACTCCTCGAAAACTTGAAATGCAAAAAAAAAATTCTTACCTCGTCGAGAGCCATGGACAGAGCGCCGGAGATGGCGAGACCCTGACGATCTTTGAGGTCGCCCTTGATGGCGGTGAGGTAGCCGATGGTCAAGTTGAGCGGCTGGCCCGCGGTTTTATTGCCCCCCGACCAGAGATTCTTATGAGAGGGCACCTGGTGGCACTGGACCGGCGGAGAAGCCGGTGACTCCGCCGGCGGCTCCAGAGCCTGACTCAGGACCAGGGGGCTGCTGGCCAGTAGCAGCAGTACCAGGAGGGCGCGTGGACGCGGCCGCGGCAGCGGATGCGATGGACGATGACGCTCCTGCCGCTGCTTGCGGTCGCGCTCCCGATGAAGCTGCTGCTGGCGCGGATGCTGGCGACGGGGAGACCTGCGGCGGCTCGGCTGTGCTGGCGGGCCGGGGCGCATGGCCGCCGCCGCCACCGGTCAGCAGCGCCTCCCACCCGCTTACCTGGGGGTCAAAAAAATATTCGTTTTCCTTTAAAAAAAAAATTGTGAAGAAACGTGTCGTGTAAGTGATGTAAAAAAATTATCCAGCAAACAGTTATAAAAATAAATATCAGTTATATAATTGTTAAATAATATAATATATATATATATATATATAATATATAATAATAATAGTTATATAATTGTTATGCGACGTAACATCTTACACAGAGAAAAATGTATACTGTAATCAAGTAAATATTATTTATTTTAAGTACATCATAAGTTTGTATATCCGCAAATATATCATAAGTTTACCACAAGCATTAAATTTAATTGAATATATTCTGAATTTTAGTAAGTGCAGTATTTTAGTCAAGAATATTAAATTAAAACAAAAATTTGGTTTACTTACTACAAGAGTTGACGTAGAATAAGTTTGATTTTTCTTTGATACAACTTTACAATATTCTTGAAGCAAAAATAAATTCTTCTTTTGAGTACATGATAATGAGATTTTCTAACACTTGTGATAAGTATATTTTAAGACTATTATCAAGAATATATTCTTTGTTGAAGAAAACTATTACTTAAAAAAAGAAAAATAAATTGAGTAATCGCTTTTCTTGGCAGTAGAATGATATTTTTCTCTGTGTGTATTGTCGTGTGGGAAATTACAACTAACAATTGTATAAATGTTACGTTGGTGTTTGCTGGGGAGATTAATGTTTAAGGATGTTTTGTACCTATTTTCAAAATATTGAGAATTTAATGAAAATTGTGCAGAATGTCCTTACATATGTTTAGAATCTTCAGTACAATTTTTAAATCGATTCACTAAGGCCCGGTTCTACAACTCGAGTTAATCCGATTTTAATACGTTAAACTGGGTCTTGATTGGTCCATTCACTTAAACTCGGATTAACTGGATTATGGAACTAGGCTTAAAGCGTTTACAAGTTATAAGGATTTTAATTTGCACCGAATTAATGTGTTCTTATGGGAAACGTATAATCACGTCGATTCAAATGACAAAAACACATGGAAATAATATTCAGAATTTGTTTAAAATTTGTAAAAGTTTAGATACAGAGGAAATATTTGATCAAATAATATTATACAAGTACTGGTTAAAAAGATATTACATATAATTTAATACTATAAAGTTAGTCAGGTATCTGTCACAAGGCGAAATGCTCTGCCAAAAGTTAATCATTTCGATTAACAAAATTCGGAATATTTCAGTAAAAACGCAATAAATATTAAAAAATACATCTCTGCACTGTATCTAAGATCAAATTGTAATATTTCACACAATTTCTCATACTCAAACTACACCAAAAGTGGATAGATTTCGTCAATATTGATTTTCAGCTACTTTTTGCTGGGATTGTACATACAAAACATCCTTAAGCATAAATTGATAGCGATTAAAAATTGTTTTCAATGAAATAATCATTCTCTGTGTGTGATTTACGTAAACATTAATCGAATAAACTAATATTCGTCAAACTAATATCTCATCTATTGAAATCATTTAGGGTAGGTTAAATATGCTACAATAATGATAAATTATCGATAATAAAATACTAAACAAAAAAATTAATTTAACAGAATCTGTTGTGAAAATTTGCTATCCATCATATAAATAGCCACATATAAAAAGGCAAACTTGATCTGCTTGAAAAACCCGATTTAGTATTCGGAAATGTTATCTGTATTTCAGATCTGTTGATTATAATTCGCATCGACCTTATATCGCGATATACGTATCATATATAAGGATATGTAGCATTACAATTTCCGCGGTTACAATCGTCGTGAAACCGGTTGTAGTTTGTGTGTATGCTATAGTTGTAACAATAAAATATATATATATATATATATATATATATATATATCTATATCTTTCTACTTCAATGCATTTATCGCGAGGTCACATTTATTCACGTGAATCATTGTATCATGCCATCTGTTATGTGCTCAACTAATAATAGATAGTTTTCAAACAATATTAACCGCGCGAAATATCGAAGTGATTTACACTGTGCACTTTTCACAGACATTTTTACGTTTAGTTTGTATCATCTTCACATCGAAAGACAATCTGTCGTAAAGAAAATTTATATCGCATAAACCGGATGTCGCGAGGAGTCCCGAAGGAATTTTATATCAGTGGCATCATTGTTGCAGTACGCAAGTGAGAAAAATGTATTGCGATCACGTGCGTAAAATGACCGCAACTTCCTTTTCACTGTCTCGTAAATCAATCGAATTTATTTCCTCGGTCAATGAAAATAGCGAACTGAAAATTATCACACTTGTTAGCGAGATTCTTTGTACACTTATGAATGACTTTGTCAATTCATATCACACAATATCGACATAAATATTTGTGAGCATCGACTATTAAAGAAAAAAAAATAAAAATTCCACAATTTACGTAAAATAATTTAAGACGGCGTGTCGCGTTAATAAGACGTAAATTTTTTTTAATTACACGAGTTATTCACGCTAGCAAAAATTTTATAGTATGATTTAATTTGGTAACAGAAATTTCAAAAGAAAAAATACATATTAATACAATATTATAAATACAATATTATCTATAACTTTCAAGATTTATACTGTAACGATGACCGATAAGAAAACATCTGTTGAATGCGTTGGCGTAAGAATTGTCAGAAAATTCCGGACGCAAGACTCGATGTCGCCGAACACGATTACGCATCAAATCGTCACGAAACATAAGTGCGAGAGTTGGAACACGTGGCCGTAAAGGAGAGAAGGAGAGAAGGAGAAAAGAGGAAAAAAGAGAAAGAGACACCTGTTGCGATTACATAAGTCCTTAGGTGAGGTCGGACTAGCCTGCAGGGGCTTTAGCAACAATAAAGACGTCCGCCTGTCATGATGCACAATGTCATTCACCAAGAGAGGAAGCGCGCGTGCCTTTCTACTCGCCCGGTTGACGCCGCATCGACTTCCGACTTGCAGAGGCTTTTAATTATTACGGTCGAGGGAGTCACGAAACCCGGATTTATTTGACGCCTGGTCGTGAGTTAACAAAAGAGACATTGAAGGGACAGGTGTCACGCCACACTACTCCATACTTAACTCGACGTGATCCGCTATTACGTCATCACTCATATATGTTCGGTAGGCCATGTATACGCGCACGTTGTCTGCATGATGTATAAACAGGTACCTATCGATTACATTTCGCCCGATACATTTTCTGCTATCATGCTGTTTTACGAAAAAAAGCGAAAATAATTAGACTTTGTATTTAAAAGCTGCATTTTGCATCTTTACTTCTCGTTTCTTTTAACAAAGCGAGTTTAACGTGAATTATGAAAAAAAATCGCGGAGACAAATTCAATTGTTTTTATAATTTGCACTTCATACTTCAAATAACATGCTGATATTGACAGTTATAGCTATCTTTGAATATTTTGTGTTGCATGTTCAATTTGACTGATAAATACATTATATTATTGTGATTTACATTCCTCATTGCAAATTAGAAAAAATTTATATTTTATCTTATATATAAAAAAATAATACATTTTTTATTATATATATATATATATATATATATATATATATTTATTTATTGACTTCTATAAATAACTGTAATAATTTTCAACATGTAATTTTACTCCTTATCGATTTATTATTTTTAATAATAGTTATCGTATTTTTAATAGTAGTTGGAAATAGTATATTAAAACGTAAATTAAGACATATATGAAAAAAGAAGCAGTCATATTTTTCTTTTGAGGAATTCGAGAAAACGACGTAAGAAAATACACGATGGTCGCAAAAAATCCACGCAAATAAAACGTGTTAATATGTAGTGATTTGTTTAATACATTGTTGGTTATAATATAATTAGAATGCTTAGAGTACCACCTGCGTATGTATGCGCATCTGATTTACCATACAAAGAATCACGTGATAGAAAAGAAATTTCTTGTAAACGGTCAAGCGGTCGTATGAATAATTCAAAATTATTATATCTTTTAAAATTCTTTTTAAAATTCCAATTTGATCTTTTAATCAAATTTGATTTTTTTTGTGCAAATTTTGTATAAAATGTGATGAATATTGTAATAAGTATTACAGGATATTTGTCAAACAAAAACAAATTGTAATAATCCTTCTGCAAGTTGAAAAATTTACATAGAAAAGATAAAAATTTTGATTCGAGGAAAAAAAAAGAAAAGAAAATATTTACGGGCAACGCGATTAATATCCATGATCGGACGGATGTCTAAAAATATCACACCTATGTTTGTTGAGTAGAGAGATCATATATCTTGAACGATTTCATCCAAAAACCACATAGATTATACATATTTGTTTTATCACGATAATATCGATAACTAATGTGTATTTCGTGTATTATGTTCTAAAAATAACAATGAAATATTATGTAATCTTTACAAGACAAAACGAAAGTCGCCTCTGTTTTTGCTTATCATTTGAAAATAAGATTAAAACTCTTAGATTTTTTAACACAATTTTTTCGTGTTAAAAATTTTCTTATATTTTCTTATATTTTATTCTCATATTTTTCTTATTATTTCTTATTATTCTATTAAACCGACAAACATTTTTAGATATTTTTATCACAATGATTTTGATATTTGTACTATAAACTTCTTTGTAAAAAAAAAACTTTCTTATTGAAAACTTTTTTATCTAAAAACTTTATGATTTCGCAATTCCATCGTATTTGAAAAATTCAAATATATGCTAATTATAAGTAAACTTGAAATATTATAATTATAAAATAATAAAATGATCAAAAGTGAAAAATTAAAACAATGTCAGCTTGATATCAAAGTGTTTCCCGAATTAATTTTTTTATCGCTACTAAGATATCTTGAGATCCAAATTTATTATTTACAAAATAAGTTTCAGAAATAATCGAAAATACTTCAGTCGCATCACAAGAACTACTGTTAATACGATTAATTGTTTGATTCTATTACACTATTTTCCAAATTGCTATCGAGA